GCCCGACCCACCCCCCTGCCGCCACGGGCAGAGCAGGAAGCCGCCACCGCACCGCCTCGCTGCAGAAAATCTCACCTCCTTACCTGGAACTCATTTATCTGAAGGGGAACCAACTCCTCCAGCAGCCTGGGCCCGGCTGGGCTTGTCGACCTTTGGCCAAGTGTGGTGGCAGGGAAGGCGCATGGATGGCAGGGGAGGAGGGGAACCAAGAGAGGCAGGAGTGTGGATGGGGTCCCGATGGGACAGCACGACGGGGAATGTTGAGCTTAGCCATAAGACAGCAGTAAGATGGGAAACGTCTCCTTGGCAACATTTTTACTTCAAAACCAAACCAGGAGAAGAAAGGCTACTCAAGGAGCCATCCCTACAGATGCCCTGTGCGAACAGTCTACCAAAAAGTGCAGGGTTTTCTCAGGAAAAGTAACCAGCTGTGTTCTGCTGAGGACTCTGTCCACAAGTGAGTCTTTCTGTGAGACCAGAAAGCCCTGGGACATTGAGGAACGAAGGCCAGTGCTCTGCCACCCATGGCAGGATACCAGCAGGGCAGGGTTTTCTCCGGGGGTTAGCTCTAGTAAGCTGGATCCCACAATCTGGGCCACATGCAAAACGCATGGTTACTTTCTCCACCCCACCCCCCTTCTTTACAGCAGAAGCAGGTTTACAACAAAACAAGGACAGGAAAGTTGACTTTTTTTGACAGAAAAATTAAAGGTTGCTGGAAAGGAAGGGACACTTCAGCCAAACAATACCACACCACGGAGGGAGGGTGCAGAAAAACCCTGAGCACTTGAAAGAGGCTCCTTTGCTCTGAGAAGTCTGTGAAGTGATGCTACTTTCAGAACAGAAGAGATAGCAGGAGCAAATAAGGCAGCTGCTCAGAGAAAAGAGATCTTTATTTAAAAAGACTCGATCCAGAGTCAGTCCATAGAAAAGAAAAGAAAATCTAGAATCCTCTTGGTGGGCAGCTTCACACTTTTGTCTTCCTTTAAATAGATCTGTGAAAGCAACTTGCAGAAGGCTTTCTAGATTAAAGATGAAAACAGAAATCCCTTAGTTCTTTCAAGCAGCTTTCTACAAAAAGATGCGTACCGCAGCTTGCCAAGCAGATGTCAGGGAATTTACAGGACACACGATATGCAGACTGTTCAGCAAAAATCCAGTAAGATTTTTAGGCTTTGCAGTCCTGAAGGAAGGCATCTAGTCGTAAGCTGAGCCTACATAAACTGAGCCTACAGATGCAAGGCTGTCTTTCCAACCCTGCAGACAACATGAACTAAGGAGTGTTTAATTCTTCTGTTCCAAACTAACCGAACTGGAGTAGCATCTGAAAATCTCAATTCCAGTACAGAAATATCATGATTATCTACTTAAGCATTTACTAAAAAAAACTGCAAGGATGGAAACCAGCAGTGATGAGATCTGGTGAGTGCAAAGGGAAGCAAGAAACTGCTGCATGTAGAAAAACTAGAATAGAAATTAAAAAAAACCTCACAGGTCTGGAGAAGGACAGAAATACCGAGAGGATGGATGAAAAACACACAGGAAGGGAGGCCTATCTCAAAGAACTGCAGGCTTTCCCATGCAGGGATGCCAAGGCATTAAAAGCAGAAGTTTAATCACCACAAAAAATGTGTGCTCCAGCCTGCAAGTTCCACATAAACTCTGTGCTCCACTTTGACCCTCCACAGCGATCACAGCAGGCACCAGGCTAACCGAGCACCACAGCCAAGAGGTTGAGAGTAGCAATGCTATGCCTAGGAGCTTTGGGATCAATAACATTGCAAAGAAGCCAGTGCTATGCAGAAAAAGCCAAGCATCTGCCTGGGAAATGCAAGAAACATGGGCAGAAAAAAGGCAAGAGATTAATCCTGGAATCCTACCCCATCTTTCTGACATACTTGAAGGCAGAAGGAAAAGAAGAGTGGGCAGGAATATCCCCAAATATCAATTAAAACAAAAGCAAAAACCTAAACCAAAACCCCCAAAAAACCCAGGCCTGATGTGGGTTGTGGCGAGTTTGACTCAAGAGCAGGACCTGCCTCCCTTCCAACAGGAGCAGGCGACAGAGAGGTCCACACGGCAAAGCAGCTGCTGTCGCGTCAGCTGAATGCTCACTTCCCCAGCTCCCACCCGGCAGCTGCCTCCTCCCACCTGCCCCCGAAAGCCAGTGGCTGCTGCACTGCCAGCAACCCAAGGTGGCTCTGAGGGACAGGCAGTGGCTTTCCCGGTGGGCAAGAACCTCCTGGCTCTTTTGCTTGAGGTTTTTGTTTCCATGCTGCCTGGGTTTTCTCCTTGAGCTCGGCGAGTGGCTGCAGCTCCCCAGGGCACTGTCAGATGAGCTAGCTACCAAACCAATGGCAGCGCTGGGAGGTTATTGCTCTAGCTGGGACCCCAGCAGAAACCATGACTCCCACATTGGCCACAGGTCTGGACAAGTGGCATGATGCCCTGAGGTTGCAGGCATCTCCACACTCACAGACCTGCTGTGCCCCAGAGAGCCAGCACAGGCAATGTCACCTCATGAGCAGCATGAGGCAGGGCCTTGAAATTATTTCAGGCTAGCCACATCCCCGCTCTTGTGGTTCTGACCCACAAGTGAGGCTGCAAGGAGGGGACAGCCAAAAAGTCACTGGGGGAGCATTTCCAGTGGCCACCGCTTGGTCACCCAGCCAGCAGGCACTGACTGGGTGACAAAGAGGTGACAGACCAGTGGCAGCCTGCAGTGCAACAGATGACTCCCCCCACACTAAAATCCTGGGTTGAACACACTGGGGCAACAAGCCCAGAAGTCAGCACTGTCCATCTTCCCAGAGATTTGCTGGCAAAGGCAGCAAATCGTTCTGCTGCTAGACTAAGTCTTCAGGAGCACAGGGGCCAACCTCGATGCCCTGCTACAGCCTGCTTCTGGGGAGACAACCAGCTTCCCAGCAGCAGAGACTGCCGTGTTCCCAGGCAGCACTTGGGCACTGGAAACAGTTGTTCCCAGCCCCAGAGGAAAAAAAAGCTGCAAGCAACAGGGTAGTATTCACAGTATCTGCTTGCTTAAGTGAAGTTTGAGGACTAGTGCTGGGCAAGACAAGCTGCAAGTTTCCATCCTCACGCAACCGTCACACAGAAGATGCTCTGTTGCACAATGGGGAAAAACATCCTCATCCTAGTGAACTAACAAAAAGAGATTCAAAGGTTTACACTTCAACACGGCTGGAAAAGCATAAGCAAAGTGATCTGAACAATCTCCAGTGCCTCTGCACAATGAATAGCGAGGCATAATTTAATCAAGTTTATGGTTTTATAGCAGCTTCCAATCCCAAGAGATTTTTCATAGCCATGGGGCGACTGAATCTGAATGCCTTTGGGAACAGTGCATAAATCGGGAGCCACCTTTTTTTTTCCTTACCCGAGATCACGTTAAAGAAGCCTGTCACTGCCAGGGGAGGCACTGCAGGTGAAAGCTGGAGCATCCTTACGCAATGTAGCTTCTTGTTAGTGACCCTCGTTTAATCTCTACAAGGTATCTCTTTCTGAAAGTACAAAGGGGAGCAGGTGACAGGCAGGGATGTCTGAGATGATACTATGCTCGCCAAGGCAGCACATAAAGCAAGGGAGTAAGAGTCAAAGCTCAAACTAAGTTTTGATCTCCTGCTCCATGAATCCCTTTGGAGAACCTTCCCCATCCCATCAAAGTTTGGGGATTTCTGCCTTCAGATAATCCTACTAAGGGGAAAGATGGGTGAGGAGCTTTAGGATAGAAGGGAAGCCGAGACTTTTGCCTGTGATCATTTCAGAGATGCTACCCAGGAAAACTTTCATTGGTGCAGGGGGATCTGCACTCAGTCGTTCCCACAGCATGGGACAATAGGATCCACTCTCCTCGTGCTTCTCTCTTTTGAGGGGATCTCAGCTCCACTACAGGCTAGGCCAGCTGGAGGGTGAATGTTTTTCACCAGTCTGATGAAGCTCCCAAGTCTGTGAAGAAGGAAGGAGCCCAAACATCCAATCTGGAGTTCCCCCTCCCAGAACCAGCCTTTCCTCAAAAGCAGGCAGAAGACTTGGATGGAGAAGAGGAGAGGAAGGAAGAAAAGTATTTGCAAGCTTTTACCTAAAAAGCCAAGAGGAGACAAGTGCTCCCTGCCGTGACCAGTGGAGGCATGGATTCATGACAAGGTGAGAGGGACACACAAGAGGGGTCGACCACATGAGCTGTGTGCTGCCATTCCCCGCTCGGCCTCCAACCAAGCTACAGCAGCAAACGTCACAAGGAAGGGGAAAAGCAGCATAGCAAACAACGTGCCATGGGATGAGGACAAGTGGGAATAGGTCAGTCACTTGTCTGTCCAAAGGACAATTTGAAAGATTGCCTCCACAGGATCTCCCCCAGGATAGGGAACGAGCAGAAAAGGCAGAGAGGGTGAGGAAAAAGGAGAAGTGGAGTGAGGGCAAGCAGCCAGAAACAAGCCAAGTAAAGCTGATGTGCTTTGAGGAAGCAGCCCCTTAGGAGAGAGCAGCTGGGAAGATCTCTGCCAAGCAACAAGGGAGTGAGGCCACAGGGATTTACAGGATATGCCCGTCACAAACCAGCAAGGCATTCTCTGGAGGAGGAGAATGATCTTTGCTCGAGCATATGCCCTGGGAAAGGCAGGGAAACCCAGCAGTGCTGAGGGTGCTGGAGGCGTTGGGTTCCCAAAATCAAGAGCTGCTAGCTGTGCTGCTGCTGTTTCAGAGGGTCACAGCCCCTCAAATCCTATGCGTGGTGAAATGCTCTTACACCAACGAGCAGCCTGTTTGCTCCCTCCCTCACCCAGAAGCATGCCCACATGGTTTCCCCCTCCACCCAACACTCCTCTACAGACATAAACTTCACCTTCACGTTATCTACAAAAGAGAATTTAAGCCAAAACACACACACACACACACACACAAACAGTTACACACACATACACAAACACATTTTCTTGCCTGCCAAATATCAGCTACAGTGCAATTCTTAAAGAGGAGATGTTAGTCCTTACACAAATGGACATCTACAGAAATATATGTAATTTAAAAAGAAAAAAAAATCTCTCGACAATTCCTTAACACCGGTGGCAGCATGCGTCACTGTAAATGCTAAAGCCGTCTGGTTTCCCTAGTAGTCTCTGCATACCTTGTTCATTGTCACTTGTTTTGAGGGACTCTTCAGACCAACTTCTATTGCTTTTGGCCTCTGACCTTTTCTTGGTGTGCCTTTCTTCTGTGAAGTCTTTGACCTTTGCAGTGGCCTCTGGCTGAACAGCCTCAGCTAAATCTTTCCTGCTTTGCCGGCCCAACTTGCCGGACGGGGATCTCTCTGGTGACACCTGCTGCTCCCATAGTTCCCTAAGATGCTGCAGGTGACGCTGCTTTTTGGGATGGAGCCCTGTTAATTCAATGCACACCTTCAGGTTGGTCACCTCATTACAACTGGGCTCTTCTAAGTGGTTAGAGGAACTGTTTGTCATTTCCCTCTCAGGCCAGTCATCTAATGGAAAAATAACTAAAAATTAATCAAAAAGCCCCCTCAACTTAAAACAAAAGCTACATTTCACTTTCGGGGCATATAGTCTCAGCTTTACCACCACACTATGCATTTTAAAGGTTCGCTCATTAAGGGTTACATGCACTACAGTAACTTGCACTGCTGTGGCTACAGTGTCCAATAACTAGTGCTTTACCCTTATATAGCACGTTTTTTTATATATACATATATATATACACATATATACACATATATATAATTTTAAGTGAAATGACAGTGCTCACATTAGTAACTATAAAGTTCAAAAATGGAAACACATTAAGCCAAAGGGACGTTCCTTTCACAAGACATTCCTTCAGAGAAACCAAAGCAAAATACTGTCTTACCTTTGGAGTTCTTCTTCTTTTTTGCTTTTGATATAAGTTCATCCTGCAGTTCATCCACAAAGTTTTCATTTTGGCTCCCATCATTTTGTACTCTCTCACCAGAGTGTTTACGCTTCCTGTCCAGACGTGGACATGGATATTGGCCAATATCTTCTGTTGGCTGTTCTTCCTCTTTTTCATATATAGAATGTCTCTCTAAATAACATTTCTCATTTGAGAGATCTTTTTCCTCTGGAGTATCAAGGAAGTGACCTTGGTTGTTTTCTGTACTAGTAAAGTTACCTAAAAGTAAAAAAAACCAAACACACACCACAAGACCTAATAAATACAAAATAATTAACTGTAAGAAAACTATGCTCTCTGATCTCTTCAGTGTTATCTCCATCACGACTTAAGGCTCATGAGGCATGCACAAAAACACAAAATCCTACTTCAGAACAAGTCTCTTCTGCTTAGCCTAAGGTAAAAGTTTTCTCAGCAGTTAAGTACAATGCACACACCTCAGCATGATACTTTGCGTTGGTTTTACATCAATTTAAGTATAACATTCACAATACTTATAACCACAGAAACATCACAACCTGCTTTTTTAAATAAAGAAACATCTTTAGATAATGAAGGCACAGGCCCTTTTCAGAAAGCAACCTCACCCCCCAAAAACATGGTCAGTAATAACACAAGCTCCACTTTGCAATGACTTTGTTTTCAAAAATACCTTCCGATGATAATGAAGTGCAAGTCTTTTGCTAATTCCTAATCCTTCCCTAACTTCTCACATCAAACTGCAGAGTCTGACTTAAAAGCATTCGTCCCTTCTTCTGGAGATATAAATGGGATACAGAGCACGCACACATGTACATGGGAATACGACTAAGAATAGCTGTGATATTTTGCAAAAAGCAGTACTTGAATCCAAGGTTATAAAAAGGCTTCCACACTTCAAGTAACCAGCCAGTTGCTGCACGTCACATGATCTTTGTCACCTCCTTTTAAAAAACACCTCACTTCTGTCACGGAGGGTTTCCAGCAGCAGCAAGCAGGTGAGCTTTGAAAAGCTCACTAGAAACTAGTCTGACAAATTATCCACAAAAACACCCACCTTGCCATGCTTGCCCTAACTTCAGCTTCCCCTCTCCAATACCATTCCCCCAAATTTATTGACAGTTTAAGCAATTTTAAATGGATGCTTGACTTAAAATGACTCTTAAACATCATCTTGAGTAGGTTTTCTTTCTTGGGTTTAACCAGACCAGCTGAGGCAGACACGCAGTACAGACTGTAATGTGGTTAATCAGCTTCCTATTTACAATTCTCACAAACAACTTGGTTTTCCCACGCATTTCAGCCCTCCTGGCTGGCCAATACTCTTTCTGCACGTCTGCTGCTGTTTGGCAAACTCTCTGCATGCTCCATCCTAGTTCCCCACAGCTCACTGTCCCTTTTCCTCTTCCTTCTCCTTGCCCTTCCTCCTTCTCAACCTTCCTTTCCCTCAAATAAATCTGGTGGTTTCCTACTTGGACTCCTGACAGCTCCCCTTCCCTTTCCTTGACTCCCCCTCCTGCCACCTTACTCAGCCTCCTCCCTCATACAGCCTGCCCTTCAGCTTCTGCTCTTCCCCACTGCCAGGGCAGATGTTGTTCCTCTGCAGCTCTCTCTCCCCTCCTGGCCCCTCCAAGACCCACCACACCAGCATCCAGCTACTGGCAGCCCCTGGACGCAGAACAGCTCTATCCCACCTCATCTTGAGAACACCTTCCTACAGCTGTTCCAGAAGCCAACGTCTTCTGGTTTCACAACCATCCTTGAAATACTTGTCAGCAATGGAAGGCTGAGGGGGAAAAGAAAAAAAAAACTCCTCGGATGACATTTTTCTTCACCACAATTTGGAAACGGCTCCAAGTAGCACCTAGGGCTCTGGAGATGTTTGCAGGCACCCGAGACATCCCAGCGTCATTTTCACACTGCTTGGGAAACTGCCTGCAGAGCTGCTTTATAAAACAGCAGAAGATATTTGGCCAAGAAAAATCAAAACAAAAGCTGACTTTTTCCAGGCGAGCAGGACACTTGAGCCATTCTGCTGTTTGGCGATGCTCCTCTCCACGAGGCCGTCTGGCCAACACCTGCTCCCTTCAAGACTTTAAAACGCAGTTTGTCACACTTCTTCCAGCCAGCAGTGCAGACACGTTCCAGAAAACAGGCATCTCAGCTCACTATGACTACGCCTCTAAATTGCCAATGTCTCCCAGAATCAGAATGAATCTGGCAACACCCTGTGCTTGCACATCTGACAGGAAGATGCTACCCAACAGCTGTATAACCACACCAACAGCACTGGCAGTCCCATTCCTCACAGCATACAAGTAGCTGGACCAGCCACATTTTAAGTATCACTTCAGAAATGCTTCTATCGAATTTAATTTTATGTATTTAATGCAATCTGCTGTTTTCCCCCTTTCACAAGGAAATACTACACTTACATGCCCAGTTTCCCCAAACAGACCAGATAAAGGCACTCTCTGCCACACTCCTGCTGTTTGTAGCCTTCATGTCAGCAGCAGAACCAGCAGATACACACCACAGCTCACACCATGAGACTGCTGCATCAGGACAGCTTTCCTGCTCCTAACACTGTGTGGCCTGATAAAAGGCAAGCTCATCCTGACCAATTCCCAGAGAAGCCTTCTCAGGGTCAGAGGAAGTAGCAGGCGGTAAGGGCAGGCGTTTGGTGGTCTTAATCTTTAGGGCTTGCAGGAAACGGCAAGCTAATTCCAGCCTGCCAGCACCGACAGCGACCCGCCGCAGATTAATTCCTTCTCTATCTGCAAGAGGACTTGGCACAGAGATGCTGAGCGCCGCTCACTCAGACCGTCTGTGCTACAAAATAAAAAGAGGGGAGAGACGTTTGCTGTAACCTCGCTAGCAGCTCGTCACTGTGATGCTTCTCCAGGGCTCCACGTGCTGAGGAGAACAGCACACACCTACTGAAGTTTATCCAAAAAGCTCTCGCTGTCAGCGGCCCTGCGACACCTTCGTGGCTGCTCTCCAGTCACATCCCAGGGGGTCCCCTCAGGCGACCAGGGCTACGTCTCCTTGGCCGCCATGCCAGAAATCCCTCTCGAGAACTGCTGGCTGCACTCACGCCTGTGAAATGCATCCTGCTAGGTGCAGCTAAGACCATTAGAGGAGCGAAAACTCCGCATGTTAATCCGGGTTGTGTAATCATCCTGCATCGACACGGGAGGACGGCGATGGCGAAGCCAGGGAGTCGTGTGGGACACAGCCTTGCTTATCTGCCCCGCCTACAATGCTCCCTGCCTCTCCTACAGGCGGATTTTCACCGCGAGGGAACAAAGGTCAGTCGCTGTTCAGGACACGGCATAACCCACAGGCTGACAGGCTCCCTACGCCGTCTGCACGGACACGTTGCAGGCCCAGAGGTTTTTCCCCTAGGCACAGCGGTGACCACCTCACGGAGCACAGGCTCTATTAATATTTTACCACCAGATTCCACTCTGTCCTCAAACTGTTTTGCAAGCAACCCAGATCAGACACAATGTCTCCCCAATTTAAGATATAAATGTCAATATGAGGCACAGCAACATAAGCATATCGTGCATGCCCAACAAGGACAAGGAGAATTTATTTGCTTTTGATCCCCCCCGCCATGTATCTACAACATCCTTTTCTCTGCCCGAGGAAGAAAACAACAATAAAATACTTGGGAGTCCTCATATCATCATTATTCAAACAGTGACGAGGTAGCCAGAATCACAGGATAAATGCTGAGTTCTCATAGCAACACACCTCTATGAGTAAGGAGATTACGCTCCTAAACATGTTCTTTCCTCAAGCCTCCAGCATTTGCCAGTCTCACACCACCTATGAGAACCAGCACCAACAACTGAAACTGTTTCTCACTGTCCTACCCAACTAGAAACAGGGAAGAATTAAGATGCTTCCTCTCACATAGTTTCTGCCTGAAGCAATACCTCTTTAGGGCACGGGTTACAACCTCACGAGAAACAGTTACACGCACACACAAACCTGCTACCAAAAAAACTTTCCTTCATTTTTCCATCTTCCTGCTGCTGTCAGCTGCTTGAGACCAGGCCCTCCCATGCGATGCAAACAAGGAAACACACCTTAGTGTTTAAGCTGCAATACTTTTGTTCAAATAACATTGCAGCTAAAACCAGCTTTTCCTCTCCCCTGGAGCAACCTCTCATTGTGTTCACTTATGGAAGGCACACTTGATTCATCCAAGGATGGTAATGACTATCCAAATGCTAAAACTCAGTATTCAGCATGGAGATCACAAGAATTGTAAAAAATTCCGTAAGTCACCTTCAGCATCCAAATCTGAGAATCCTGTGGGGCAGAGGGAACACCGCTGATTTCATTTTTCCCTCCAAGTACCTCTCCCTGGGAGCTTTCCACGTTTGTTTTCTTCCGCCCAAACCTACTGCAACCGACATTCTCCCAGGACAGACTTTAGCTTTTTTTCTTTTGTTTTTGCACTATGTCCCATGGCAGGAAGGTAATAACTGACCAGGGCAAAGGACATGTTTACCGTCTCTATCTTTCATTTGTTCAGGTATACAGGCAGCCCAGAGAGAAAAGAAAAGCAGGGAATTACCATACAAAGGGACACCAGCACCTCGCTCTGATGCTGAAGACCAGCTCTAAAGGCTTTGGCACATTACACCGTTTACTTCAGGCAGAGGAATTGCATTAACTTTTTCCCCATGACCTTAAAGATGAGCCTTAAGATCAGGCTTTTAACATACCAGTTTTTACTTTTGACAGCTAAGGCTTAAATGGGCAGTGTCTTCCTCCTAGAAAATTTGATAAACAGGTAAAATCACACTCCCTGATCAAGAAATTCACAGCTTGTAGAATTTATTTAATCTTTCACACTTGTGTATGATTTCCAATACCACTAGAAGAGCTTTGTTATGAACCAACATGCGATCATCACATGCCCGTATTGATGTGTGTGTCCATGCCAATAGCCTAAATCACTTGATCTCTGAACAATCCTATGACTCATGACATATGCATCCCATAATTTATCACGTTTGTGCTATGGAAATGCACTGGAGCCGCATCGCCTCAGCAACATTTACAAGTCACCTTGGCAACAAAGCAGCTTCACCACTGCTCTCAGAATGCCTGGCAAAACCTAAATGAGATGGGAGAGAAGTAAACCACTTCTACTTTACTCCTTGGCTTTAATTGCTCATTAATTAGCTAACACAGCTATCTCCCTTAAATCAGCTCTTTTTATGGGAAAAAAAAAGAAAATAAAATAAAAAAACCGCACCTTTTACACCCTTCTCCAGAAGGCACACGGAAGCTTAAGAAGACTCTCAGTACAGGAAAGCCATGCATCGCCAAGTCAAAGGAAAAGTTTTAAAGAATTGGATGTTGTGCCTTCGTTAGCTTCCAAAAAAGTAAGTCCCAGGGCAAGCTAAAAAAAACGTAGTTTCCATCCCATCGGGTGCCTCTGTAAGCATCACCGGCCTGTTTTATTTAGCCTGTTGTTGTTGTTGTCATCGCACTGGTAGATTTAGAGGAGCCGAGGGGACGAGCAGGTGGCAGGGCCCCAGTCAGCTCCTGTGCTCCATGCCAGGCACGGCCGCAGCCTCGCCGAGGCAGCAGCGGAGGAGCCCTGTCCCACAAGCCGGCCCCGTGCCACAGGCACAGCCTCAGCTGTAGTTTTCCTCTGCCCCGCCAGCGCCGAGGCCAGGCAGGTGAAGCGCTCGCAGTGGGGGTCGTGCCTAACAGCTGGCCGGATTTGCTCCTGAATTCCTCACTCACCCAGGAGAAGGCAGGCCGCTGTGCTTTCAGCCAACGCCAGACAATACGTAAGGTGAGGTGAAACATGTTTCAAGCCGCAAGCGATCTTGCGGGAGGCAGAAAGGAAAACGGCAGAGGCTGAAAACCATCGGCTAGTTCCCGTTCAAGAGCTTTAAAGCCAAACGCACCAACAGCATGGTTAAAAACTGGAGGGAAAGGGAAGGAAGGAGATAAGTAGCCCTGGCCCTCACTGGTGACAAATGAAGGGGAGAAGCAGGCAGAGGACATCACCCCTTTGCCAGTCACTCAGCGAGAGATGCATCAAGACCATTGGTGGCTCAAGCCCCACCGGACCCCAAGCCACTACACATTCAAGAAGTGTGAAACTGATTTATCAGCTGCTACCCCAAGGGGCAGGCAGTGAACCATCATGATAAAAAACTTTTACCGAGACCTGTACCTCTACCAGTAAGTATCTGCTGCTGCACAGGTGAGCATACAGAAGAGGAGCTCCCTCAGCAGAACAAATCTGCGCTTTTAGCAGTTTAGACAATTGGCCAAACTCTGAAATAGCCTATTAAGTCAGAGCTAATTAGTAGTGGAGAGGGACGATCTAACATAAGACTGAACATACTTTCGCTGCTTCAGACAGTTATTTAATAGTCTCAAACACATTTTAGCCAATAGATTCAAGTGCCAGAGACCTCACTGAATGATGAATTTAAGGACACACTATATCATCAGCCTTCTGCAAGGACAGGAAAGGGGGTGTTTCAGCAAATAACAGAGCTCTAATGCTCTTCTGCTCTTCCTCCCCACACACGCCCCCCCCGGTGCAGCATGCCCCACACCCGCAAGCAGGTTCTCCCGCCCTCCTTTCCTTGTACCCATCACTGACCTCAAAGACTACTGTCCCGCTCTCCCCTACCAGACCCATCCTGCCTTGCACCCAGCACAAAGTGGCAGGGCTCTGCTGCTGCTGCTGCCAGCACTCTTCACACCTTCCAGCACACCCAGGGTGGGATTTAACAAAAGACATCACCAGGGCACCCTGTGCCCTCTGAGGCGCAAGGGAGGCTGCAAGGGAGAGAGTCTGGGTGGCAGCCTGCCAAGCTCTTAGCTTTAGCAGGGTGAGTGCAAAGGCAGCAGTGCCTTCCTCCCTGAAGCTGCCTCCATATAGCCTGGAGGAGGGAAAGCCCGCTCAGCTTGCAGAGGCTCAGCCTGCTTCTCCCCATCCGAGTACCTTCTCTGCTTCCACAATTAAAACTTCCTCTTGCTACTTCGCCAGGTAGATTTCTATTGAGGCTGTTATTTCAGTGAGAGCAATACCAAAGTAACTTGATTTAGGTGAGTAACCGAGCAAGTACGATTGACCAGCATGCTCTCTGCCAAAAGCATTAACCAAAGACCAGAACGATAATTCAAAGTTATTAAATTGCCTGAATGAAATTTTCTACTAGCCCTAGTCATGAATCTCCACCTCAGAAGAGCACACTTAACCACTGGGTTACACAACGCACGTGCATGCGCGCGCACACACCACACAGTCTGCAGTGTTTCTTCTTGTTTTGCAATACTTTTAGCAAAGATTTTTTTTCCTCCTAGGTTGTTAAAAACAAAGGACCAGCAGGAGGAACTGATCCATCCCTTAATTAAATAGGTAAAACAAAAACAAAATAATTGATGGAAGCCATGTGCTTACCAAGAGTTCAAAAAAAAGAAAAATTTTCTTGCATACAGTAAAATAATCCCCAATACCATTTATTTACTTATCTTTAAGTTTATCTTACTTTAGGACAATGTTGTTAGCAGCTTTTTCCATCATCCTCTGACACCTTGCCACAGCCTAGAAGGTGCAGCCAGGCCCACAGGGAATTTCACAGCCTCCCGCTTGCCCACGCAGACCTGTGCCAGCCAGCCCCATGCACGCTGACAGCCACTGCAGCAAGAAGTCACCCAGGCAAACCAGCTTCTCATTGCCTGGAGTGTTATGGACAGTTTTTATGGATAAGCCAACTGGGAGATCATGTCCTTTCCCGCTCCCCGTCACCCTTTTGTCCTCCATCCTTGCTTTGCCTGAAAGCTGCGACACTGGCACCTCCCAGCACTACAGCAACTTCAGAAAGCTGAACCCTTGCCTCTCTCTCTTCTCCTACCTCCTTTCTGCATTGAAAATATAACCTTGGACCTTCGCTTTCACTGTTTGATGTGGTACCCCGTGAAATAAAAGGATGATCTCTTTAAGACAGTAACTTGGGTGACAGTTAGCTATCCCCTGAAAAGCAGGCACAGTTTTAACCAGTAACTTGCAGATGCCAAAACAAGCACAGAGAGCACCAGCCGCAGCAGCTCTGTACCTGCAGAGGCTGAAGTCAGTGACTTTAGCCTGCAATGCTGCAAGAACACGAAGATCACGCTGCCCATGCAGCTTTGCTGCAAGCTGCTGCAGCACAGAGACACAGACACGCTTCAGAAAGCCATCTAAATTTGCTTACATCTGTCATTGTCATTTTGGTCAGCAATGGCATCTTCCAGAGCGACAGACTTTGGCTTCTTTTCACTGTTTCCTTTCAAGTTTTCCCAGTCTGCCTGGCTGAATCTGCAGACCTCTGAGTCTTTGGTAGCTGTTTGGCCTTCTCTCTCTTTCATCTCCAACTCTGAGAAGCGCATCATTGCACGCTAGAAAGAGAATTGATATGAAAAAAAGAAGTCTTGCGATAAAAGCTACTTCATTTACCTTACCTTATATGAAAGCATTTCCAAGACAAATCTGCTCAAAACCAAGGTTTCAGATAGATAGCTAAGTAGGAGTTTAACACACCTGACTTGTTAAACAGTATTCTAGCTTCTATATGCAAATAACCACAGAATTCTTTCATATAGAAGTATATAAATATATAAAAGATATATATAAATGTATACTGTATATAAAACAAAAACATTCCATTTTGGAGGTAGTAAGAGACAAAAACAAAAAGGGGGGGGGGAAAAAACACAACACAAAATCGTACAATGAATAGACGACCATGGCCCACAAACTTCCCTTTGTGTATTTGGAAATGAAATTTAACTCAAAGGTTTATGTAAGAGTCTAGTAATAAAAATTTGAAGAACTGACCTCACAGTAAGCAGCAGGTAGACATAAAATACTGTCCTCTTGTAATCCTTCCATCTATGTAATTAAAATGGGCACTCAATGGATCATTTAGATAATTTCATCCATTTTTATAAGCATAAACTAATTCTTTTCTTAACAATGCAAAACAATTTGGCTTAACTCATCCCTTCATTAAAATACCTTAAGGATATTCCTACACAGTATCTGTCCTTCATCCCTCAGCATCAACCTCAATACCGCTCCTACTCTTCCCTACGCGCTGGCTTGGCGCAAACGTTGCCTGAGACCCGCTAATACATGGCTGCGACTCCTCTCCATCCAGCAGCACGTTTGGCATACTAATCACAACTTCTGGGCGCGCTTTTATCGCTGGCACTACAGGCCAGCTGAGAAATTACAGCCACCGCTAGCGCCAACGTAACATGCATGTCTCTCCAACTCCCCTCCGTAACTGCACAGTTCACACGTACATAACATTTTTATCAGCTCTTAGTAAAAGCCCTTTAAAGCTTACTAGCGTGCACACAGGTAAAAGCCATACAGAATGTTCTTCACATCGCCTCGCTCTCGCTAACAAACTTACTTTGCTACTTAAAACTGTTTCTGGCAAACATGCCCTAACAAAAAAAGTTCTCATTTCCCCACCTGTGTTGCTTCTCTCAACTTTTAATACTTGACTGCAACTCGCAACAGAGAAATCACGACAAAAAAGCGCGGCGGCCGTTGGCCCGCGCAGACTCACCTGCAACGCTCGCTGTTCCCGGCTCAGCTGGCTGGAGTCTGCGTACAGCTCCGTCGTCACGCACTTGAATCGATCGCCTACATAACCAGCAGAGTTTGCGATCCTCTTGGCTAACTTAGACGGCTTGGGTTTCAATATTTTGCCGTCAGCAGATTCTACGTCGTCGGCTCCGTCTTTGGTATAAGCCTGGCTGGCGTCGATGCTCGGCGGCGCAGTCCCCATGCAGAACGGCTTCGCGTCCTCCTGCACCTTGCCAAAAGCCAGAGTCGGAGCATCGCTCTCGTGAGCGCTTTCCAAGAAAGCAGGCGAAGGCTGGACCGTCACTCTCTCTTTAGGCTGGCTCACAGATAAATCGTCTTTCCTTAAGCCGAACACCGATGAACTCTGGGCTTGCTTGAAATTATAGGTTTCCTGAAGATCATTATTTCTTCCAAACTCCTCTCTCATTACAATAAAATCTCTGTGCTGCGACGCCTGTTCTACCTTGTGCTTTGTAGGGTCATTAGCCTGATTACTGCTTTCCACAGCAAAGCCGGCTTTCATCACATTCACTTCACTTTTAGACTCTTGCTCGTCTCGCAGAAGATCTGGGAAGAGGTGTTTGTCACTTTTGGCAGAGTTTTTACCGTGGCCAGAGCTCTGGTGCAATTTCACACTCTTGTCACCAGGTACTTCGAAATGCATCTTCCCACTATTCTCCAGGAGCTCCGGCAACCGGCCCCGTAGAGCTGGGTCCTCATAGCGGGACCTCTCGTGAGACCGCGACCTCCTTTCAGCCTTCTCCTCCTTATTTATCTCCAAAGCCGAATGCTGCAGCAGCATGGGGTGCACCATCCCCATCCCCAGCGCATCCTGGTAGGTCATGAACTCTCCCCGCCCTGCCGGCAGGCTGTAGGGGAGGCCGGGTTTGGGAGCTAGGTGGCCGGGGTAGAGGCTGCCGCTGGGCAGCAAGACGGGGTGCGGATACACGTGTCCTTTCCCATGAAGGGAGAGAGGGCTGATGGCTATCCCCTCTGGCACCGGGTACGGGAGGTAGCTCCTGGGGTAGGGCAGAGGTGGGGAGCGAAACGCCTCATTGGGTGGCAGGAAGATGGGGCTGGAGGCCAGGGCGGTCTCATTCGTCTTGAAGCTGGCTTCCTGGCTGCAGGATTTGGCCACCTTATTGCTGTGTTTCGCTGGGGCAGCGACAGGCTGCCCAACGTGCTGTATGACGGAGGCAGCGCTCTCTGCAGAGCTCCTGACCATCTTGGCGCAATCCACATTGGCATTGGGAGCTGGCGACGCAGATGCTGGCCGCCCCC